TTTAGGGTTTAGGGGTTGAGGGCAGGTTTTTGGGCTCAAGCGTCGCTGGTTTAAATTAGGATTGACGGTTTATGTTGGGCTTCTCTGCATATGGTTCGATGCTCTTCATCCCGAACCAGAACCGTAAAGACCCTCAACCATGGCCGTCCTGCTGAATTAGGCGGATTTCCACACCTGCCGCATCGTGCTGTTGAGGTTGCATCGTTGTGCTTATGCCTTAGGGTTTCGGGTTGATTCGAATGCTTAGCCTGCACTGCACAGCGGCAAAAACCATTCAAGCAACATGGTTCACAGGACTTGTGTTGTGCCAACCGCAGCCGCAGGAACAACAGCAACAATGGAAAGAGAAGCTAGCATTGGCTTTAAGACCATGTCCTGTCTAAGAGCTTCTGGTAGGCAAGTTGCAGGGTCTCAGCCTCAGGTGTGGGGGTTTTGGAATTCATGGGCTTAGGGGATGTCGGGTGCAGTTCAGGGTGCGGAGGATGGCACTTCAGGGGTTGGGGTGTGCGGCTTCAAGCTCCGAAGATTTTGGGTTCATGTCTCGGGTGCTTGCCCTTAAGACGTAGCCGTTTCACCCCGGACCTGAAAGTTCACTCAGTTCACGCCTGATGATGTAGGGGACTCCGGAAGAGAAACGCCCAACTGGGCACACCGAGTGGTCCCGAGAACCGTCGCTTTAGCGCTGAACGGCCTAGTTAGGGGGCTTGCCTGACACATGCACCCGAAGAGCTTGAGGGCTTTAAGCCCTCGACCCCCTGAAATCCCGAAGATCCCACCTAAACCCTAAACCCTTAACCNNACCCTAAACCTCTAAACCTCTAGGCACTAATCCTCTACGCCCCAGCCGCTTTGGTAGGAGCGCCAAACCCGAAACCCCAGAACCCCCAAAGAGTGAAAGCCAAAACTCTGTTAAAGGCTCAACCCCCTGCAGAACCTGCACCATAAAAACTCTTTCAGAACCCGGTTGAGGGCCTATGCAACATCGAAAAACCCGACAAAAAACTCTATCAAAACGCAATTCAACAACCTCAATAGAGAGGCCTTGTGCCACCGCTGGCCAGCCCGCCAGTGGCAGCTGAACAAAGGCGCCCATGATGGGCATTGGGATCAAGCCAAGGAAGCGGAGAGGATTCCTCTGGGCTTAGGGCTAAGTTTTTGCTACCCTTACCCTCAAAAGACTCAT